GCCCAGGTAAACGAAAATCCGCGAGTGACGATTGTTAACCAACAGAAACGAGTTCTTGTTGAATGTGAAACAAAAACAAAAGTATGTAGACACAAAACTTGATATACAACACTGCACAAATAACAAAATATCGGATGCGTTTGAGAATTTTTAACTCACACTAGGTGTTTTCAGTGCACTCTTTCGCTTGGAGATCTTTAAATTTGGATGCTCTTATTTGGATATGCGCTTGCACAAGTAAATTATATATTTTCACTCAATTAGCTGACACGGCTGTGCACTTAGTTAGTAAATAGTAAATTACACACAAAAATTTATTTGACATTCAATGACATCAACTTTTTGGGGGCGTTATATGCGTTCAACAGATTTGTATACACTTGCGAGATTTCTGTGTGTTTTTTTTTTCACTGCAAAAATAAGCTATATGTTTGATTGCACTGTATATTTTGGCAAACTGGTTGCTTATAAAGTTTTATTTTTATTATAATTTTTTACGTCACAATACACACTCGTGTTTATCCGCCAAGAAAAATACTGGAGACCTGTTTAGATCAGCAGCACTTTATTATTTGAGCGTCGAGCAAGTTTGTGTTTGACCTGGTATGGGAAAAGAGAGAGCGATACACAGTGAGTAACTGCGTTCGGGAGTGAATATGCACTGAGCACGCAAGCGAGTGAACAGGTAGTTTTTCAGCTAATAATGGAGATTTTTTTTTTATTTTATCTTTTATGTGATTTCTTTGCATTTAATTATTGTTTTTATATTTTGCTGATTTGGCNGTTGTGGTTTTATAACTTGTTTATGTGCGATTTTTTTTAATCTTAATTTGGCTTACTTTTTCAGACCTCTAATTAGTTCCATAAGTAAATATGTTAAGTATATCTTATGTATCTGCGTAGAGCGTAATAAATTTAAATTTTTATTGCATTTTTTTGTTTTATTCTATGAAGTTTTATTTTACTTTTAATTGAATTGGCTGAGTTATGTAATTGTTTTCTTTAAAAATTTTGTGTTCTCACAAACTTTTACCAAGTTTCATCTCTTAGGGCAAGGCCTTATCATCTAGGAACAAGGACAAGCTAGATGCCCGCTCCCACTAGTTCTGTTTCCAGAGGCCATACGCATAGAGGGTATTGGTGCAGGCGTATATGTACCCGGACTGAAGCTTTTAGTGCCCTTGGGATTTTTCCCCAAGTATTTCCTAAGCGGAACTCTATGCCATTATTGCAAAGTTTAACCTTCCTAGGACTTATCGATGGGAGAGGATTCTTTTATTAGGATATATTGCGGTGGCACTTAGGACTCTCGCATCTTCGAAGTCAAATGCTCATTGGGCTTGAAGTGTGTGGAGAAGGTAAATCTCCTGGCTGAGGGCAATTCTATCAAATTGTTTTTGGTACCGGGGCACATAGCAGTCGGAGGAAATGAGGAAGATAATCAGTTTGTCAGAATGACCCGATAGTAGAGAAGTCCTCCCTTGCGGTACGGCCTATCACTATGAAGGAAGTGCTCAGAATGGAAAATATCGAATTGAGGGAACTGCACTGGTAAAACGCCATGGGTCATCGCTTCAAAGCTTATTTACTAGGGGGTACAATCAAAAGACATATAGGCTACTGATAAGGAGCCAAGGAGAGAATGTAAGAATTATTACTGGTATTTTGACCAGGAGAGGCCACTTGCCTGAGCTAGGAATCAGGTCAAGCGATTTATGTAGTAACGAGCTTAGGGCACAAAAGACCCACAAAAAATACAAATATTGAGTTAAATACGCAGAAATTACCGCTACCTCTTGTTCTATGTTGTGTTAAAATTTCATAGATATATCGATTACCAATAGCTCACTAGAACAAAATATATAGATATGTACATATGTATTCCTTTTTACTATGAGAGTACATATCGCATACCGTCTTCAAAAGAGTCACAACTCAAAATAATATCTAGGTTTGTAAGAATATGCGAAAACCTTACATTCTTACCACATGATAATCATATGGGCAAGAGCGACTTTACCTAGGTTTTTTTTAAACAAATTATAACAAAAATTTGCTCCAGCTTTTGCTGAAAGAGCTCTGCGTACAATTTTAGCGCATAATCTCAAAAATGCCAAATTTTGAGTTGTGACTCTTTTGAAGACGGTGTGCGATATATCGACACCTGAGTGGAAGATCGCCTATCTCGGCAGCTAGTTCAAAGTTTAAAGCCGTTTTTCTCGAGCTTTGTTTTTTTTGAATTATGACGCTACTGAAGTAAATGAGCGATATGTAGTTGCAAAATTTAAAAAAAAAACATGTTAGTGTGCATTTCGAAAACATTTATTTTCAATATTAATTTTTTATTATGAGTCGTTTATTTGAGATTTATTAATGGCGTTTTCGTTTCTACCGAAAATGTTACCTTCTCTTTGCCGCAAGAGGCGGGCAATGAGAAGGCAACATTTTTTGTAGAAAGAAAGCGCCATAAGACTAGCCACTTTACAATCCATTGAGTTTGGTTTACAAACTTATTCATATTTTTCAACAAAATTATATTCATACATACATATGTAGGTATGAATATACATGAACTCAAGTCATTATCAAATGCAGCAAGGTTTTTTTTCATAAATAAATTTATTCCATTTAACTTCATATCTTTGCCTCTGCTTTGCTTTGCTCTTCGACGCGTAGCATAAAAATTCGGCTTTCACTTAACATTTAACACACACACATTTAGTACCTGCTCGCTCAAATCTTTTTTCTAAACATTTCAAGAGCCAATTACTGCACCTTGTTGGCCACTGATTGCACATTTACTACAAACATTTATGTACCTACATTGATGCAGTACTTTCAAAATATAAATCACTGCATTTTCTCCAAACACTTTTTACTTAGACCTTTTTACTAATTTTTTAGGCAAACAATCATCAAATCGTTGTTGGAAACATGCTTGCTTTGCAAATGCTTTGTATTTTGTTTTTATTTACGCTTCGTACTCACATTTCTGTACAATTATGTATTCAACTCTGCACAACACCTTTTATTCGTTAAAATTTAGTTTTTCATCATTTAATTACTATTTTATTGCCAAGTCACTTTGGTTACGACACGTTCATTACTTTCTTTATTTTTTATTACTCGTTGCAAACAGCCATTTCCAAAACTAGTTGCACTTGCCGAATATTTTTTCTTTACCTTGACGCACGACTTCCGCTAAGCAAACACCAAACGCTTGGAATAGTTACCGCAAACTGTGGAGCTCTCAAAGCCAACGTTATTAACAACCCGGCTAATCGTGCAGGCAAACTAACTAGCAGGCCATTTGTGCGGATGCACTCAGCACATAGTACATACATACGTATGCACACACGTACATATGGCAGTACTTGTGTATGGATATGTGTGTGTGCGATTTGGGGGTTCTATGCATGCTCTTTACTCGTACGTGTATACAATGGGAGCGAAGCGACGGGCACAAGTCGACTTTACGGTGAGCTACATTAAAGAAGGCAACACAACTTTACTCTTTTAAGTGATTAGATTAACGAAAAGAGTGAAAAATCTATTTAAAATAGTTTTTATTGTTTGGTATTTGATACTTTTGTGATTTCAATGGCTAGAGGGAGCTCTGGTGGATTAATCGGATTTTATTGGTTGAAGGATCCACCGAAATGCACAGCGTCTATTTAGCAGGAGGAAGCTCAGCTCAGCATGTAAATTCACTTACGTTTATGGACTCGAAATTTTCGGTTCAGCTATAGAGAATGTGTTCCTAACCATCTGTTGGATGTCCTGGAAAAAGACAAAGCTGATATCACCGCAGTACAAAAATTACTATGAACAGGTTATGACTTGCCTATTTTTAAGCTAGAATGGGCAAAGAAGGCAACTTCGATGTTTACCTTCCATCAAAGAAGTCAGCAACGGATCAGATACCTGTTTGCAAATGCACAGTACTACAGCAATTATCACCTTAAGTACCCAGGTAATTCGAAGTCCCACATAATTATTATAAGAAGACGTAAATCATTTCCGTAAAGAAATAAACGTCCCGCGAGATGAAAAAAATAAACGTTCGAAATAATTATTATGCGAAGACGTAAATAATTTTCGTCTTAAAATAGACGTCCCGAGAGACGAGAAAAATAAAAATCCTACATAATTATTATGAAAAGACGTAAATAATTTCCATCTGAAAATAATCGTCCCGCGAGATGAAAAGAGATATTTCTCGTAAGCAATTATTATACAAAGACTAAAAAAATGTATTTTTAAACAAGGCGCCGATTTCGATCTCAAATACATATAAGGATAATAATTATTTTGGGTCTCTGCTTTTTTCAAATGTTTTTTTTTTTTTCTTGTTTCAAATATCTCACTTTCACGCATATACATAAATGTAGCGTGCATCTAGGCGTATGAATGAAGTGCTTATTTTAAGCAAAGAGAGAGCTGCTACAATCTGTGCATTTGGGGCCGTGCTCTTTGCAAAACCTGTTTGAAGTAACCAGACATTTTGCTTGCACGCCCACTCCATTTTCTCTCTTCGCCGATACTCTTTATCGAGACAAGTCAATTGGCAGCCGCGGACGCATAGCACCGATTTAAGGCAAGTGCAGCAATGTGCATCGTGGTTCAAACGAGGATGCTAAATGCTAACAATTTGCTTTTGCAATATGTAATAACAGTAAAATTTACGATGCGAATATGTACATATGAACCTTTCAATGGCCATATAAAAAGGCGTTGCTGTCTGGGGAATGTTGTGTGAAAAGAGAATTGTACTGCGTTAAAAACTAAAGGCGGATTCATCGTTTTAGTTCAAAACTTTTTTCCATGTGGTTGTTGTTGTGTTTCTCCAACTATGAGAGGGAAGAAAGAGTTCAGAACTAAAACGATGAATCCACCTTAATAAGGTATTAATGCAATTTCTTAACATAAACGTATATGTATATTAAAAAAGAAAAACGAAACCCCGATAAACATATTTTTAAATTCTATGAAAACAATAGTTTTCCGAAAGCGCACATTTATTTTCCGCATTTGTATGTAATTTACAATAAAATTTAAATAAAAAAATTATCATTATCTAATTTGATAGTTTAAAGCTTAAGTAGCGTCGTTTTGCTGCTCCTCTTTTTAAGTTTAGGCATCAAATACATTCACCTACTTAAAAATATTTTACAAAACGCAGAAAAAAAGTAAACGCTCTTAAAATAACCTAGGACACTATAAATTGAAATAATCTCTCGCTCACACACAAAGTTAACAAATAGAGAATATTAACAACTTATTCAGGCTGGTTCTGTAATTCATTTCCGAGTGAGTTAACAAAAAAACTCGCTTTAAATTCAATTTGGCAATGTTTGAAATTCACTGCAGAACCTACCTGAATGTCAATACTAACAATTTTGCTAAACCATTCCCTAAATCTTAATATTTTGCTGTTGGTCCATCTTCGTTTAGTTGGCGTCCACTTTTCTCGGTACCAAAGCTTTGGTGGTGACCACTGCCGATGAGTCAGTTGCTGCTGGTTTGTTTGTTGTCGCTACCGGTTTAACAGCTAATAGCGGTGGTGCTGCTAAATCCATATCTAAATTCGTTTTGATTTCAATGCGCATTTGTTGCTTCTTCTCCACGCGCAATTGCTGCTTCGGTACCACCGGCACTTCTACGTCACCAATCTTTTTCAGTTCAACTGCTGCCCTTTTAGGTTGCGCGATCATTTTCGCCGCTTCCTCCTTTTGCTCTACTACAAGTGGCATATTAGTACACGCTCCCATGCCTAGTTTTTGTTTCACTTCCGCCAGAGTAGCAGCAGCTTTTTCGCGCGCTTTCTCAGCGCCCATCTCTAGCACATATACCAATTCATTGCGTCGCACCAGTTGTTGATTAATTTTATTTCGTATAGGCCGTAAATGCTCCACAATCTCTTCTGCCACACGCATTTTATATTTGCCAGTATCAATACTTTTGGCTTCTTCGCAAATTTGCTGCACACTCTTGCCAGAGAGTAGCGAATGTATGGCTATCAGGTTGCTTACGCCCTGACGTGTTTCAGGATTGTAGTGTACATCCGAGCAGAAGTCTGTAACTGCCTTCTTCACCTTCTCGATAATCACATCTGCTTCGTCTGTGAGGTTGATAACAGCTTTTGGATCAACATCAGACTTTGACATTTTTTTACTTGGATCCCGTAAGGAACGTATGCGCGCAGCAGACTTATCACTAATTACAGCATGGCATATGGGAAATGTATTACCGTATTTGGTATTAAATGTGCGAGCCAAATGCTGAGTGAGTTGTATATGCTGAACCTGATCCTCACCGACGGGTACGTGAGTGGCCCTGCAATATAGCAACTTTATTGAAGCAATAAATAAATTGGGCATAGAAACATTTTACGCACTTGTAAAGCAGGATATCTGCAGCTTGCAACACAGGATAAACAAATAAACCAAGTGGGATTTCTTTAATNTATGGGAAATGTATTACCGTATTTGGTATTAAATGTGCGAGCCAAATGCTGAGTGAGTTGTATATGTTGAACCTGATCCTCACCGACGGGTACGTGAGTGGCCCTGCAATATAGCAATTTTATTGAAGCAATAAATAAATTGGACATACATTTTACGCACTTGTAAAGCAGGATATCTGCAGCTTGCAACACAGGATAAACAAATAAACCAAGTGGGATTTCTTTAACAGCGCGCGTCTTTTCCTTGTACTGAGGCAGGTGGCCAAGCCGTGCCATGGTTGTCATGCAACCCAAAATCCACGACAGCTCTGCGTGCTCTTTTACCGCCGACTGCACAAATAGTGTGGATTTTTCTGGATCAATACCACAAGCCAACATTGCCGCCGCCATTTGAAAGATATTTTCCCGTAGAGTTACTGGTTCCTTCAGCACAATATAGAAATCCACTTATTTAATAACCGTGTTACAATTGAGATTACCTTTTCATTTGGTTGAAAGACTAACCTGTGGCACTGTTAACGAGTGCATGTCCACAATGCAAAAAGATACATCCTCTTTGGCATTCTGCAGTCTCGTCCAATTTTGTACCGCTCCCAGGTAGTTGCCCAAATGTAATGCACCGGTAGGCTGTATGCCTGAGAAAACTTTTCGTGGATATTCAGTATTCTATAAGGTGTAAATTCATATTTAAAGTACTGTAACATTTTAACAGTAATTAGCTCATACCTCAACAGCTTCCTTGGATCTCTGCACGGAAGTCATAGCTATACCCATTCTNTACGCACTTGTAAAGCAGGATATCTGCAGCTTGCAACACAGGATAAACAAATAAACCAAGTGGGATTTCTTTAATAGCGCGCGTCTTTTCCTTGTACTGAGGCAGGTGGCCAAGCCGTGCCATGGTTGTCATGCAACCCAAAATCCACGACAGCTCTGCGTGCTCTTTTACCGCCGACTGCACAAATAGTGTGGATTTTTCTGGATCAATACCACAAGCCAACATTGCCGCCGCCATTTGAAAGATATTTTCCCGTAGAGTTACTGGTTCCTTCAGCACAATATAGAAATCCACTTATTTAATAACCGTGTTACAATTGAGATTACCTTTTCATTTGGTTGAAAGACTAACCTGTGGCACTGTTAACGAGTGCATGTCCACAATGCAAAAAGATACATCCTCTTTGGCATTCTGCAGTCTCGTCCAATTTTGTACCGCTCCCAGGTAGTTGCCCAAATGTAATGCNCATTGCCGCCGCCATTTGAAAGATATTTTCCCGTAGAGTTACTGGTTCCTGCAGCACAATATAGAAATCCACTTATTTAATAATAATGATAATTGAGATTACCTTTTCATTTGGGTGAAAGACTAACCTGTGGCACTGTTAGCGAGTGCATGTCCACAATGCAGAAAGATACATCCTCTTTGGCATTCTGCAGTCTCGTCCAATTTTGTACCGCTCCCAGGTAGTTGCCCAAATGTAATGGACCGGTAGGCTGTATGCCTGAGAAAACTTTTCGTGGATATTCAGTATTCTATAAGGTGTAAATTCATATTTAAAGTACTGTAACATTTTAACAGTAACTAGCTCATACCTCAACAACTTCCTTGGATCTCTGCACGGAAGTCATAGCTATACCCATTCGCGACTGATGTTGCAACAGAAAGATTGTGCTGCTCCCACGCAATGCATCTCGAGCTGCGACACCTGACAACACCCTTAATGTATTCATTATGATGTATACAAAACGAAAATATAATATATATATTGTATTTTATGCTTTTAGTTATTAAAATTGGATTAGTTTTGCCAAAAGAAATTTTCTGAACTGAAACTGAATTGTACAATTTTTTCCATTGACAGTTGGTGTTGCCATGTAATGACAGCAGCAATTTTCGTTGTGTGAAATTGATGNCAGTTGGTGTTGCCATGTAATGACAGCAGCAATTTTCGTTGTGTGAAATTGAGGAATTTATGATAGCCCAGTAAAATTGGACTTTTTCTCAAAAAATATTGTAACAGCGATTTTTTGATGCAATTTACTTCTATTTGAGACGTAGGTCATAGATCCGGGGTTGTACTTAAATTCCATTCCGCCAATTTTTTTTAGTTTCTCGCGATTTGCAAGCTTATTTAGCATTTCCGTAAAATATGGTTAAATAAAAATTTTTAGAGAATTTAATTTCCCACATTTAACTCTAGAACCATAATATACGTTAATTTTACGAATATACAATTTTCAAATTGCGATTGCACAACGTGGAAAACGTTTCAAACAAATCGGATCGACTCTAATTTTTTTGCTGCCATATTAGGTCCGCCATTTTGAACCTGACCTGAGATTCATAATAAGCGGCCCCAAGAACCCAGAGGAAAACATTTCAAGCGGATCGAATCGAATTTTTGGCCGCCATATGGGATTCGCGATTATGAATCNGCAATTTACTTCTATTTGAGACGTAGGTCATAGATCCGGGGTTGTACTTATATTCCATTCCGCCAGTTTTTTTAGTTTCTCGCGATTTCCAAGCTTATTTTGCATTTCCGTAAAATATGGTTAAATACAAATTTTTTGAGAATTTAATTTCCCACTTAACTCTAGAACCATAATATACGTAAATTTTACGAATATACAATTTTCAAATTGCGATTGAACAACGTGGAAAACGTTACAAACAAATCGGATCGACTTTAATTTTTTTGCTGCCATATTGGGTCCGCCATTTTGAACCTGACCTGAGATTCATAATTAGCGGCCCCAAGAACCCAGAGGAAAACATTTCAAGCGGATCGAATCGAATTTTTGGCCGCCATATGGGATTCGCGATTATGAATTATTAAAATATTGCTCTAGCTTCGTTATCAGCAACCCCAAAAACATAAGACCCTGCTGTTATTTTCCTTTTTTATTAGGTTTGTTCGTCGAAAATCCAGCAAGAATTATCCAACACTCAAAATATCATGTGTGTATTTCGCTCTTAAGAAAAAATTCTCTCAAATTCTCTCTCATGTTGAGAAACTTGCAAATTTCTGCACGAACGCAAATTTGCAGGAATTTGCAAGTTTCGCTGCCAGCTGGCGTCCACGGTTGCATTTCAATCATAAAAATTTTTTATAGAATTTTTAAAATTCATCCGGATGGCCAAAAACAGGATATACATGTATATTTCTTGTTGTTCTGACTTTCTTTAACATACATTTCAATTTCTTCACCGTACTAGCTGTCGGGTTTCTTAAATCGACTCTGGTTGCAATTGCATTCCGATTGCGAATACCATTTTTTTCAGCCGAATTAAGTTCAAATCATTGGAATTAACTAAATTAATTATATAAACAATTATTTACTTCCTTTTTTCATAAAAAAATCGCTCGTGTTTATAAATTTTTAAATTTAACGAACTAATTTATTCAAATTATTGTAGACAAAAATGCAACCATGCGCCACAACACATGTTTTTCGTGTTTGCAAATTCTTGCTGGCAAAATTTTTTCCAGCAAGAATTTGCAACTTCTCTCCAAGAGAACTGTCACTTTGCTCTCACAATTTTTGAGTGTTGGATAATTTTTTGGTCTGCACGAACGCGATTTGGGCAAAAATCGTGATAATTCGTACAAATTCGTACAAATTTTTTGCTCGACGAACAAACCTATTGTTGGGTGCTCCGGTAGCTCAAAAGCTGTAAAACAAAATCTAATTTACGGTTAGATTAGACGACATGTTGAGTTTTTCAAAAGGCCACATTATTTTTAAAGGACGGTGTCCATGTGATCACTTTAAGACCTTAATCTTTGTAATCTGTCCTATAAAATTTTGGCCATTGTACTGTACCGGTTGACGTTATATGGAAATAAATTTTACCCCGCTTTCCTTACATCGCTAGGTTTGGCACGTTCCCGGCCGTGATCTAAGCGTCGCACAAAAAAAAAAAATGTAGGTATAAAAGTTTTGGAGAATGAAATTCTCTACTACTTTGGATCTTCAAAATGCTATTCGGCCCTATGCTGAATATCGTCATCGCCATCGTAGACGATCGTCAGCGCCTGACGATGGCCGTATCGTCACTTTTACTGACGATGACGATATTCAACATAGGCCGGGTTCATTTTCAATAGAAATTATCGAAAAATGGCGAAAACCGTGGCAATGTAAAACTTTATTTAATGAAACGACTTCATTTTTTATAAGTATTTCAATCTATTATTTTAATTCCTTCTCGCATCTTTGTGTATCTTAGCAAGGGTACACTCAAGAAAATAAAAGTTGTTAAAATAACAAATTTTAATTTCAAGTATATTGTACGTTAAAAAAAATGTTTTAAATATAAAGATACGTCAATACAAGCGGGCAGATAGACAGAGCCGGAAGCGTTCCCACGACAGTCGGGTCTACGTAACCGGAAGGACCCAGACTTATATCTGGCCAAGGACTGTCACTCCAGCAACACTCCCCAAAAACTCTTTGGGGAATTTGTATGCTGCTACAACAACAATAAAAACAGAGCCGGAAGTATCATATCTTATGCTTCATGTGCCAGAACAGATATGGTAAGACTAAGTGCAAAATTATTTTCTGTTTAAGTTTGTAGTTAATTGTAAAATGGATTATAAGTGAAATATTGGGAATTGACGATCATTAACATTTGACTATTGGAAGAGATGATCTCAGATTGAATTCTCATATATATTCACATTTTCTGCTTGTAAGCCCGTTCAGTCAACCCACCCCATTACAAAATTAAATCATCCTTTCTTCAACGGATTCTCGCACAATACTCTCCATTTATTTTAAAATAATATATAATATAATAAAATAATATATATTATATACTAACACCTTTTAATTTCGTTACATGTTTCGCATTTCGTGTTAAATATTCAGCCGTATCGCCAACTCCATGTGACTAAATCGTTACCTTAATTTAACGTTTTTTTAATATTTGGGAATATTTGTTCACATGGAATTCAGAGCAAAATAATCGCAATTTCTGCGACAATTATTTTAATATAATTCATAAATAAGTTTACACGAAATTAAAGGCAGAGTGAGTGTTTAGCTAAATGTTAAGTGATTAAGTGGTGATTATTGCTTCCCTAATATAGATAGCACTGACTAAGATTAAAAGTTGATGGGCTTTCCGAAGGCAGCCGCAACATTCGCTTCTCGCAGAGCTTCGGCGCAGGTCTGCAAGAAAAAAAAATTAAAAATAATTAGGAACGTTTCCTCTATGTATATGTATAAATCATACGGGATGGGCATGGCAGACACGAGCAATATCTTCAGCAGATGCACCATATTCCATGGCCAACACAGCTTCGTTAATCAGCTCACCCGCGACCTATGTTAAGAAAAAAAAGTATGAGGAAAAAGTATCACCTCACTATAAACTTTCACTACTTACAGGTCCAATGATATGTGTGCCCAGCACACGGTCAGTACTCTTATCCGCTAACACTTTAACGAAACCATCTGTCTCGTTATTGGTCTTAGCACGCGAGTTAGCTAAGAATGGGAACTTGCCAACTTTATATTCCACTCCCTCTTCCTTCAATTGCTCCTCAGATTTGCCTACCCACGCGACTTCCGGATGTGTGTATACCACAGATGGCACGCAGTTGTAATCAATGTGCACATGTCCACCTAGAATGCCCTCTACGCAAATAATGCCCTCATCTTCAGCTTTGTGTGCCAACATAGGACCATGAATGCAATCACCAATGGCATAAATGTTTGGTACAATAGTTTGGAAGGTTCCATTTACTGGGATACGCCCTTTGTCGTCCTTCACAATGCCTACAGATTCGAGTCCAAGACCTTCAGTATATGGGCGACGGCCGACGCTCACCAACAACGCGTCGCAAGTTATGTCTTGCTTTTCACCAGATTTTGCGTTTTCAACCGAGACGGTTACGTTATTACCACTGCGAGAGGCGGCAATCACTTTGGTGCCCAACAAGAATTTTAAGCCTTGCTTGGTCAACACTTTCTGGAAAGTCTTCGATACTTCGGTGTCAATGCCAGCACCACCAATGGTTGTCATGAATTCCACGGCAGTGACTTCAGCGCCCAAACGTGACCAAACTGAGCCCAACTCCAAGCCGATAACGCCAGCGCCAATGACAACCAACTTCTCGGGTACCTGCTTGAGTGAGAGCGCGCCTGTGCTCGAAACAATGACTTCCTCGTCGATCTAGCAGATAAGAGACACGCAAAGTGAAAATCAATATACACTTGTGATCAGCTAATTAAGCCTGCAACATTTTGACCAATTTTGGCTATTTTTCTTTTGTTTATTTAATGCTTATTATTTTTCCATTAAAGGCTAGCTCTTTATATAACGAACACTACATAAATCCAGATTTCAAACTTTGTGCAAAAATTATGAAAAATCTGAAAAATTATGAAAATTCATGACGCATTTTTTCATACAAAAAAAAATTTTCGAATTTATTTTGTATGGAAAAAAATTTGTAATGCAGTCAGAAAAAATGTATTAAAAATCAACGCGATTTTTTAGCAGCTTAAGACTTGCCCATTATTGTCCCAGAATTTAATGGGTTATAAAACTGCATACTCAAAAAAATTCTAAAAAGTTGAAAATTTAGTTGAAATTTAAATTTTCATAATTTTTGCACACAGTTTGAAATCTGGATTTATAAGGTGTTTGTTATATAATGAGCTAGACTTTTATGGAAAAATAATAAACATTAAATAAACGAAAGCAAAATAGCCAAAATGTATCAAAACGTTACTGGCTTAATTAGCTGATCACAAGTGTATATATTTCTGTGGTCATAAGCAATAACCACCTAAGTCGACTTAAGAAAGAATTGAGTTATATACCTATGCTATCGTATTCTGCAACTGTTATTCCATGCGTACATGAAATCCCGATCTGGCCAGCTAGGCAATTTCAAATGTTATAGACGAACATATTTTGGTTTCACCATAAGGTTAACATTAAAGTCCAAATGCTTAAAACGTTCTTTCTGGAATTCAGGTTTTTCGACTTTGGCGATTATTGCTTATGACCACAGATATTATAATCGATATGAGTAGTTTTTCAGTACACACCTCAATTCCGGGGAATGGTGTAACTTCACTACCTGTGGCAATCATGATGTTCTTGGTTTGCACAGTCTCAACGCTGCCATCATCTTTCTTCACTTGCACTTCATTGGGATTGACGATTGTACCTAAACCGGTAAGCTGAGTAACATTGTTCTTCTTGAACAACTGTGCTATGCCTCCGGTAAGTGCTTTGACCGAGTTTAGTTTTTGCTGCATAAGTTTGTCCAAGTCCAAAGATACGCTGCCACAATTAATACCGCGATTGGCTAAATCACCAGAGTGCGCCATGTGATAGTAATGCGAATTGTTTAGCAAAGATTTCGAGGGAATGCAGCCCACATTAAGGCAAGTGCCACCCAATGTGGAATTTTTCTCAACACTTACGGTCTAGAAGAGTATAAAAACAATTAAATTTGTAGAATGTATGTAAAGCATTCAAAAATCCCAAAGTTTTTGGGGAGTGATGTTGAATTGACAGTCCTTGGCCAGATATAAAACAGGGTCGTTCCTGTTACGTAGACCCGACTATCGTGGGAACGTGTTGAATGTATATATTAGCTGAAGATCGTTATCTCTACTTACTTTCAAACCCAACTGGGCGGCCTTGATGGCAGCAACATAACCACCAGGGCCAGAGCCGATCACCACCAAATCTGCCTCATGAGTGTTCGAGTAGAAACGGCCATTTAGCGCGCCCAATATAGCTCCATTTGTGCGCAATGGCGTCTATAAAAGATATGGAAATGGTATTTAAAATTTAATGTCATGAGGTGAAAGTAAAAATAAGCTGAATATCCATCGACAAAACGGCAATAAAATGACTAAGCGGTATACATATGTAACTACATATGTGGATGTGTATTAAAAGCATTTCGGTTTGCTGCCACGATCTTATCAGCAAAAATCACGTCACTTGTAAGCCGAGTTATCATTTATTCAATAAGTAAAGCTTCAAGAAGTCAAAGTTATCAATGTCATAGGGAAGCTCAAAGTGATATTAAAAGTTAAGGCGACTTATTTCACCTAAAATTTCCAGCTTTGTGATAAACAAAAAATCCCGTTTTACTACAGTCAGCTGAGTTGGGGTTGGTGCATCGCCTACAAATTTACACATTTTTGCACGCCTGCGCTACCACAATCACTGGTAATTTGCAATGTACTCATAATTATATCATTTTGTTATATATTTGTAGAAACGTCGAGATTCATCGGCTCTAGTGCTTGTTATTTCAAATCCCAAGCTTTTAACGCTAATCCCAATCGAAGCTCAAAACTTCTAATAGGTTAATTTTTGTGAATTGCATAACCACAAAAAATTCCAATCCAGTTTGGCGATTTTTCCGTTCACTTAATTATTGTTATATGATTAATTTTCTCACCTTAATGGCTGTCGCGATGCAATTACGTAGTGTACACTGCATTTTTCAAAGATTTCTTATCTTCACAAAATTGCTAAAAGACCAATTTCTACCACTGGCAAGCGAGGAATTCCTCCGGTCACAGCGAATAAATTGCTTCTCTGCCCCACGCCACACACCTCTTTATCAACAATTGCATCTTAGTGGTTTTACAAGGTTGCTCTTTGTGGAGCAACGAAAACTGTCAAAAGAAAGAAACAAAGCAATTAACTCTACTTCCGGTAGTCCATTGTCAAATAATCTTACGGTCACCCTGTACTTCCGGTAGTGCACTGTCAAAAATATGCAAAAAGTACAAAAACAAAAAACGGGCAATTTTGACAAGTTATTTTAGTTTGACATTCGCATTGGTCACTTCAAGATGGCGATAAAATCGAAGTCGTCGGTGGGCTTTTTGCAAAATTAAAAATTTTATTTATACCCTAAAAGACGTACAAAAATAGAAAAAAACGTATTTAAATTATAATAAAGCAGTCTAGAAAGTGTTCTGAATATAAAAGGTGCATGAGTAAACGCCCTGAGAGGCGCTGTGGTGCAGCCAAGGTACTCCGTCGCAGCAGAGCAGATAGCAGATAGCCCAAGTTGGCAAAATTCAAGCAGAAGAACCAACAACATTGGTAGGTGGTATAGTACGAGCGAATGTTAACGGAAGACAATATTTTGGGTGCATTTTGGGGAAAAATTTAAAATAGAAAGTTTAGAATTCAATTCACCTATTACACCAGCGGCTGGTGCGTGAGAAGCCTGCGTCCTAGTTCAAGTGGCAGTAAATAGATATAGGGCAAACTTATTGTTTCTGATGCCGTGGTAGCCATCGAAGTCAGCATGATGAACAATTACACTAACATGATGATTGGCGATCAATTTCGCAAAATGGAAAGTACAACTTATTCACCAAAATCTTCGCCACATGGTGGACGTTCGCCAGTAGTGTCGAGGCAAGATTCATCGGGCACTCTAAAAACTACAATATCACTAGGCAAAACGCCCACAATAATACAGACGGGGCCCTTTTACTCAATGAAGGAACCACCAGGTATGTGACGAAAACTAGAGAATCATATCTAAACATTGCATTATTAATCAATTTGTCATCAAAAGGCAAGGGCGAATTGACGGGTGATAAAGACCTAATGACCGAATATGGGCTGCATCACACACTGACCAAGTTTAAGGATAAAAAAGTCAAGGAGTCGCTAGCTTCCTTTCTACCCAATTTGCCTGGCATCTACGACACTACAAGCAATCTGGTATGCATTGTTTTTTTGCAAATGTGCTGTGATATCACATTAACTCTTGATATTTACTATTCTTTAATTCTTATTGCAGGAAAACAGCACACTGCGTAGCGTTATTGAGAAACCGCCCATTGGTGGCAAGGAGCTGGTGCCATTAACTGCCGTACAATTAGCTGGCTTCCGGCTACATCCTGGACCTGTGAGTACTAGTTTCGATAGCTTACATCTCTTCTATTTATAAGAAATATATTTAACAATTTTCCGAAATTTCGTATAGCTACCTGAACAGTATCGTGCGCTAAATACGACACCCGCACGAAAACACAAAAACAAGCATAAAAAACACAAACACAAAGATGGCGCTGCGCCGCAAGAAACGTCGCTGATGGGTATAACCAACGAAGAAATCCATATAAGAAGCGATCTAAGATTGTTTTTCTACTTACAGACTCCTCTGGACTTGAAACCTATGAACGCAAACACAAAAAACAAAAGCGTCATGAGGACGATAAGGAGCGAAAGAAGCGAAAAAAAGAAAAGAAACGTAAAAAGAAAAGTCACAGTCCAGAACCCTCAGCTGCTGGATCTGTCGCAGGTGGCAATAGTGGAGGCATTGGCACAGGTGGTGGTGTGGGTGGGGGTAGTTCGGGCATCGTTTCGCTAGGTGTCATGCCACCAATGGGTGGCAGCAGTGGCAGTGTAGGCACATTGGGTGGTGGCGTAAATGTGCTGCCCGGCGCAGTTGCAGCGATGCAACAACCACCGCAACAACCACAAATGGCGCCAGCGCCAATGTTAAGTGACATGGGCACGATATCACAGCAATTAATGCTCTAGGGAGGAAGCAATAGACAGCTGTGAAAGTAAAAAGAAAACACACAAAGCAGCAGAAAGTTGTAAAAGGGAAATCAAAAGGCAGGCAAATTTCATGCGCAACGCTGAAACTTAAGATAGCAAGTTAAAAACACAAAAACACATTTTGTATCCTCACACTTAGCAAACTAAAACAACAAGCAAGAGAAAACCGCAAATTTTTATTTTGCAATTGCAATTTTCTTATTTAGATTTAATAATTGTAACTTAATATTTAGTTTAATTATAAATGAATTTTTATTTTCAAAACACTGCAAATTAAATTATTTATTCTAATCAAGTAAAAAAAACTGAAAACAATTTCCTACTGAAATTACTGTGCGGAGTCTTTTTAAGACTAAATATGTATTATTGAAATATAATTTAAAAGTTCCCCATAATTGATATATGTACATTAAGGTGGTCCAGAAACAGTAAATTCAAAATTGTAATGCTCTCACCCCCTATGATTGTTCTATATCGAAAAAAGTATACCCCTATTTTTTACCTCCCTTTTATTAACTCGAGACGTAACTATGTAAAATTGATGCGTTTAAAAGATGCAGCGATTTCTATTCTCAAGTTACATACCTGATGACGGTGCGAATGGAAATTATAATAGCGAGGTTTTATTTTTTTAAACTATATTGAAATCAAAAAATATTTAGAGGTCAAAGCGCTCAAAATTTTCCATGTATTTTTATGTGGGGGAAAAAACACTTTACGTGTAAATGGTATGGAATTCTTAAAAATCAATATTATTCGATCGGAAAACTCTGGTTATCTTCAGGGGTCTTTCAATAATAATACCCCATTGTTAACTTAACCATGTTGTAATACTAACGATCTTTTATTAGTCCCCCCGTTGAATTTTTCAGGGTTTCTGCTGCAGAGAAACAGAGTTATCCGATAGAAAAATATTAATATTTAAGAATTCTATACCATTTCTACGAAAAGTTGTTTTTCCCCCACACAAAATACATGGACAGCTTTGGGCGCTTTAAGTGACCTCTAAATATTTTTTGATTTTAAAATAAGAAATAGGAGTATAATTCTTTTCGGTATAGAAATTTACTTTTTCACGTGTATTTTTTGGACCACCCTAATGTACATACTGAGCAATTTTCAAGAGGTAATGCAGCAGAAAAATTTCAGTAGTTTTACAGATATTTGGTAAATTGCACATCCATAAATTGAAAAGAACGCTGGAGCTGATCGTTTATTATATATATATATATATTTTTTTTTTTTTTTTAAATCATATGGGTCAGAGGAAAAGGAAATTATCTATGCATTACAACTACCATTGTGTCAAGAGCGCTGCACAGCAGCCTTATTGGGCCAAAATTTGACAGTCGAAATAAAAAAGATATCAATACAAATATTTACGAAATATCTTAATTAAAAATTACCGTTAGTTTATTTTATTGTAGTTTAGTTTAAAGTGACGTTTTCTTTTATATAGTATTTAATCAAAACGAAATACTTTAACATTTAGTGTAAGGGTCTAAGAAAAAAATATATGAAAGTATCATTAATGACGAAAAAAATCATAATAAAAAATTAAACACATGAAGTAAAAAAAACTTAGACATAAAAAATTTAATTGCGATATCTGAGAGCATTTTTAGTAAATTTACAAACATACTTAACTTTTCGTTATCTAGTCAATAACCATCTTCCAATGTTTCTTACTTTAACCATAGCCTAAATTTTTATCAAAAAATTTCATTCATTGACTTTTACAGTTAAAAATTTGCGACCAAACAAACATCAATTTTGAATAATATTTTGAAAACCGGTCGAATCATGTAGTTTTTTAAAGTTTATGCAATAATCTTTTAAAAACTATAGCAATGAGAATACCGACTCAGGTGTGCAGATTTATTAACAGTCTCGGGCATATATACAAAAATATTTCCATGAATACAGCAAGCCATTTGCCAAAAAAATTGGAAACACCACAAAGGGAACATCGCGGAAACGTTGCGTGAATTTGATTATTCAACCAGCCGATGAGGTATGGCTAAACTTATTTAATACGATCATTGCAGATGGCGAACATAAGCAAAGTGCGTGTTCGAGATGATTTGTTTGGCACATGCAACAGCCGCATACAAGAAGGGTACCTGTTGTACGTATACATACATATGTGATTGGCAGCGAAACGCTGGTCACAGAAATGTATGCGGTAGGTATTAAATCGCATAATCAAGTCGGTCCAGATGTGATGCACGCCACCATTGAAACATATGCGTCGCAATTTTACAAACAACCCAATGTCGGGCTGTCTTAGGCTATGACAAACAATTTAGCTTTTGTAAGATAGCCTATTTCTTGCTACCAATATGGATGCACGTGATACAAATAAAGGTTTTTGTTGCGGCCATCAAGATGTGTTCAGAAGCAGTCCAACTGTCATTGGGGAAAATCTAATCGGAATATGTGAGCAATATCAGCCCAATTCTGAATATTCCCGAGGATTTCATTTCTCGCGGATTTTACTTTTCTCGAGAATAAAATCCTCCTATTCGAAACTGCCAGGGAGCAGCATTTTCCCCAAAAATTGGGGAGCAGGAAATTCGAACTTTCGAAGAGCTGTTTGACAGTTATTTTGACAGCTCAACTGCCGCCATTTAATTTGCGTATTTTACACATAAAAGTGTGTTTCACATAAAAGAGTATTTCAGATTATAGTTGTTAATAAATTAAAGCTCAATCTTTTAACTTCACATGTGAGTTGAAATATTTTGATTTCAATCGCGCGTTTTCATGTAATAAACCCTTTGCTAGGTCCAGTTGCCACTGTGAATTTTGGAAGCCGCATTATTAATAAACTAGTGCTCCGGAAATTTAAATATTAGTGCTAAATTAAAATTTAGTCTTTTAACTACACATGTGAGTTGAAATATTTTGATTTCAATCGCGCGTTTTCATGTAATAAACCAAAATAACCTAGCTTCCATTAGGCTTATTAAGATTTCTACCTGATTCTCATTTGTTGTTTTGGACCTAAAATGAAAGGTTTAAACGTTTTATTACATCAAATTTCCTTTAAATTGTAATTAACTTACATTTTTGTAGCAGTTCCCTTTTAAAATACCGGTGAAAATTCTCCCAGAACAACGAAATCAATTCTCCTCCTTTTTGAAATTCATACCTACTTTTTTCCCGAAATACATTTTCCCTTTTTCGAAGATCGTTTAAAATAGGAGAACAGGGAAAAGAAGAAAAATCCTCAGGGAATTTTTATTCATGATAGGAGGAAAGAGAAATGAAAAATTCCTAGGGAGTTTCTATTCAGAATCCGGCTGATAGTTATTTGTATTCAAAGGCAACCCCTTTTTATCAGTGATTCGCAATGTTGCCAACTTCGCACTTTTCGCGCAAAATTTAGTGTTTTTCTTTATTCAAAACGCGAAAATTTTTGAGTTGAGTTTGGTGCTTGGTGCTTTGGTGTTTTTTTTTTAGTTGAAGACACCAAATCTGTAAATCTTAAAAAAAAATCTAAGCTAAATTAATAGAAATCGTACATATTCTAGCAACTTTACAAAAATGGAAACAAAATCATGGCATAATGACAATCGTAAGCGAGCATACATATGTTTGCAAACAAATTTTTAACACAACAAGATTTTTCCCAATATGCGCTCAAATAAGGCGCATTAAAAAGGGAAATCAAATTTCGTTAAGTTTCAGGTGTCAAACAGTCAGAAAGAAAAGTTCTTTATACTCCTTTAGTTCACGAGATCAGTGTATATTTAAACTACCACATAGTTCATGAAACTTCATTTTTTATTTTTGCTGTCGTTTGACAAGAATTGTATAGGAACTTATGCAAAACGAAGAAAAATTTAACATAAACAGTCAGGACAAAATTTTTAAATTTTTCTTGAATCTTAGCGAAGCGGTATCGCTGGACACAGCTGCAAATTAGAAAATAAGAACAAGAATGTTATCGTCGCTGGGACGAAAATATTTGAATTTATAGAAAACAGGAAAAATTCGACCGTCGAGCAAGAAAGATTGATTTTTATTAATTTAAATCAGCATCCCTGCAAAAAAATGTGTATGCATTAAATACTCCGATAAAAATTGGGTATTTTTTTCAAGAAAAAACGCGCTTTTTCTTGGATTTTGGTGCTTTTACAATTTCACAACTTGGCCACACTGGTGGTTCGCGGGCTGGTCAAATTTCAACCGATTGGTTGCGGTTTAGTTCTCGCTCGCTTTCCATTTTTCGTTTCACTGATCTGGCAATGTGGTCTCGCACTGCAGCTAATTTATTGCAATCTCAAAAAAAAAAAAAAATGTTTTTCTTGTGCAGTGAAAGCAACAACAATTGGTGACCAGGGATCATATGATTTTCTGCTAACAGCGCCCTAACAACAAATGTTCAGTTATTGAAAAGCCAAAAAAAAAAAAGAAATTAAAATGCCTTTTTTGTCTCGCCTGGTAATTTCTGCTAGTAAGATTTTTACTAGCAGCTGTCAAAATGGATTAACAAAAATTCGCGCCAAATATTTTCAATAGTGCGACTTTTGGAGAGTTGTGTAGAGAATGAAGTTGCAAGATTTTACCCGAACTTTTTCTTAATAAGAATGTTATCGTCGCTAGGACGAAAATATTTGAATTTATAGAAAAGAGTAAAAATTTGACGTCGAGCAAGAAACATTGATTTTTATTGTAGCGTCGTGAAATTAAAGGCGATGAAATATAATAGTGCCGGATGGCCTGGAAACAACTATTTATTTCTAAAGAAAAATGTGTGAAAATTTAACATATGTGGAAAAATTAAATAATATTAGAATGCAAGCTAAATGGTACTCACCGCAGTTTGCGCCCTTTTTCTTCTATGTTCACGACACTACTGAATTTTAAAATTCGAGAGCGCAGCGAATAGACAAAGGGAAGGTTGCAAATAGCGATG